TCAGTGGCAGTGGTGGCCAACATCTCGTTTCTCAGGCCACGAGTCTCAACAGCAGTGTCCAGTGGCAGCCACAGTCATTTAGTGATGATGTTCAGTAATGGCGAACTGTTGTCCTCAGTGGACTGGCTCTGTGGTAGGATTGATTTTCAATTGTGATTCCATCTGTATACTCACCCTCACTTATGCCTATTTCCCCAAACTGATTCTCCACCCTTCTTGGCAGTTCTAAGAGAAAGGATTCAATATTGTTTAATCAGTCTGTGAGAGTTTAGCTGCTTGTGGCTAAGCACCCTGACTGATAGCCCGCCAGTGGTTTTTTTTGTTTGTTGCTAATGTGTCTCTTTAATATCGTTCATTGTGGTTACTTGAAAATTTCCCCCTTCCCATTTATTCTATTAGTATCTTGGAGTAAGCGACTTAATGTTGCTAATACTTGCTTCACAGAAGTGTTGTAGGAATTACATGAGATAATGTGAGTCAGCACTAATGTTGTTAAGCCCTTTTTTTTTCATAGCACTTACCCTCTTCCAGCAAACTATGTAATTCACTTAGTATATTGCTTATTATCTGTCTCCCCCACTTTCTAAGCTCCACAAGGTCAGGGAGCTTTATCTGCTTCCGCGGGCCTAGAACAATGCTTGGCACATAGGAGGCACCCAATCGATATTTGTTGAATCAATAAATGAATTTGAAGTTACCATACTTGGTTTGTGAAGAGGCCTGTGCCCCCAACTACTCAAAGAAAATAAAATCAGTTATGAGTCCCAACATCTCCCACCGGCTCCAAACATCTATCACCCATTACCCATCCTTTGTCACCTCTGTTTCATCTCAGAGAAGGCTCTCCTCTTTTCAGAAGCTAACCTTCCAATTGTGTCCTCGATTCTTTTCCTTCCCACTTCTTCCAGGATAACCACACCATTGATTATTCCCTCATTCTTTTTTTTTTCCTTTTGAGTTTATTTATTTAGAGAGAGAGAAAGAGAGAGAGAGAGAGAGAGAATGCAAGTGGGGGAGGGGCAGAGGGAGAGAGAGAGAGAATCCCATGCAGGCTCCACACTGTCAGTGCAGAGGCAAATGTGGGGCTTAAAACCACGAAATCATGACCTGAGCTGAAATCAAGGGTCTGACGCTTAACTGACTGAGCCACCCAGGCACCCCTCCCCTCATTCTTTTCATGTGTTTGTCCCTACTCTCTCCTATCCTGTAGCTTATAATTGACTAAATCTCAGCTTAGTCTCTTTTTAAGGAGGGAGCTAACAAACTTAATTTTACCTTGAAAATCCTTCAATCTGGCACCCCATCTCTGCTTTATTGCCAAGTGTCTTGAGAGAGTAGAAACTATTACTGTCCTCTTTTTCTAAATCCTTAATTATATCTCTGTCTCTCACGACTGCTTTTCTATCTACTCCACTACCAGAATCATTCTGGCAAAGGTTTTTTTTTTGTGATGCAATTGCCAGATTTGGCAATCATTATTTAGCCTTAACCCTCTTTAATTTCTCTATGGATTTGACTTTTCTTTCTTCAGTTTAAGAAATTTATTGAACATACACTAAATTCTCTGCATTCTAGGCAGTGAGGATATAAAATCTTCGTAAAAGTCATGTGCAACAGATAATATAGTATCACAATTGCTATAAGGAATTATGTACAACATTCCTTAGGACCATGGAAAAGCAGTTTTCCTGAGCCAAGAGGAGGAAAGGTATAAGAGAAAGTAAGATGACATATTATCAGATAATAAAGGGATATACAATAAGGAACAAAGAGTGTGACATTGCCAACAGCACAGAATAGATGCAAGTACTTGATATTTTTAAAAATCAGTAATTTGGGGTGCCTGGGTGGCGCAGTCGGTTAAGCGTCCAACTTCAACCAGGTCACGATCTCGCGGTCCGTGAGTTCGAGCCCCGCGTCGGGCTCTGGGCTGACGGCTCAGAGCCTGGAGCCTGTTTCCGATTCTGTGTCTCCCTCTCTCTCTGCCCCTCCCCCGTTCATGCTCTGTCTCTCTCCCAAAAATAAATAAACGTTGAAAAAAAAAAAAATCAGTAATTTGTCTAATATGGCAAAAGTGGGAGTGTATTAAACCAGATAAGGAGGTATTAGAATAGACAAGATATGATGGAGTCTGTGCTAGAATAGTGGAGACAGGGATGTGGAGAGGAACTGTAGAAGTGGAGTTGTTGGAGAAATATTTCAGAAATGGAATCAAGATTCTGTGCCTTATTTGTTAGTGAGTAAAGGTAGAGGCATGGCGGATTGAGATGTGTCTTGGACACAAAGTGTTTGATGTTATGGAACACCCGTATAATGCAGTTCAGTAAGCAGTTGCATATGTGGATCCAGAGGCCAAGCGTGTGGTCAAGGTTGCAGATAAAAATCTAAGGTGGAGATTGAAGTCATGAGAAAGACAAGAGAAGGTAAAGATACAGTTTTGAAACTAGAGAGGATGGAAGTTTAAGGGAGTCATATTTGAAGAACTCTATCTCTGAGAAGTAGAAAAACTAAGTTGGCTGCTTTGGGTGAGGTTGCTTTAGAAGTAGTAAAATTTTGGAACAATAATTGTGTGCCTACAGTATTATTTTCTTTGGTCAGTTTCCTAGTCTTTGTCATTAGTCATTCTAAGTCTCCCAGATCTTCATTTGTCAGTAGCATTGCTTCTTCTGCAGCGTCACTCACCCTTAAAAAAAATTTTTTTTTAATCTTTATTTATTTTTGAGAGAGAGCGACAGCATGTGAGCAGGGGAGGAGCAGAGAGAGAGAGAGACATAGAATCCGAAGCAGGCTCCAGGCTCTGAGCTGTCAGCACAGAGCCAGATGCAGGGCTCAAACTCACGAACTGTGAGATCATGACCTGAGCCGAAGTCGGACACTCAACCAGTGTCTGAGCCACCCAGGCACCCTTTTGATATCTCACCTTTAAAAAAAAAATTTCAGGGGCATCTGGGTAGCTCAGTCAATTAAGCATCCAACTCTTGATTTCCATTCAATCATGATCTCACGTTGAGGATTGAGCACTGTGGCGGCCCGTGCACTGACCGTGCGGAGCCTGCTTAGGATTCTCTTTCCCTCTCTCTGTCTGCCCTTCCCTTGTGTGCACATGCACATACATGCTCTCTCTCTCTCTCTCTCAAAATAAATGAACATTAAAAATGTTTTTTGATTATTACTTTGAGTTGTCTTATGCATTGTGTTGACAGATGTATGTCACATCAGCAAAAGACCAACAGAATAAAGATGGTGATGTGATAGAGATAATTCTAGGGTTTGAAGATACATTTGTGCATTCAAAATCCAGGAAATAAATAAACATGTCAGATGATGAAAAATATAATGGAGAAAAATAAAGCAAAGTAAGAGGAAAGTGGAAAAACTGAGCAGGGACCTGAAAAAGAGAGAGACCAATCATGTGAATATCCAGGGAAAGAACATTCCAAGAAAAGGGAACAGTACATGCAGAGACCCTGAGGCAAGATTGTCCTCTGGTGAATTCTAGGAATAGCAAAGGAGCCAGTGAGGCTGGAGTTAATGAGCATCGGCACAGGACTAGATGAATACAGAAGTTTATGGAGGTGAGTGGGGGTACAGATCATTCTGGGATCTCAGGGGGAGGATAATTCTCAACCAATTAGATTCAACATCCTCATTTTGTAATAGTAATTTTGTAATTCCACTTTACTGAAGTATAATTCACAGATGATATGTAACTTTCTTAAAAATTTTTAAATATAACTTGAGTACCATAAGTAAAGGAAAGGTATTTATTACCTGTTTAATGTGTAAATTAAACACGTATGAACAGCACGTTTTTAATATGTAAATAATCAGGCAGAACAATACAGGAAGACAAAAATGCCTTGTAACACTACCTAGGGGAACCATACTTAGTTTCTGAGAACAACTGGTAATGAGCCTTTACACCTTTATTAGGCTTTTACTCTGAGTGGAGAAGCTACCTGAGGGTTTAGAGCAGGAGTAACATAATCTAATATTTTTTAAAAATCTCTCAGCTCCTGCATGGAGTGAGGCTGTGAGTGGACAAGGGTAGAAGCAGGGAGCCCATTTCAGAGACTATTGCAATAATCCAGGTGCGAGTTGATAAATTGGGTTGTGAGATGTCCATGAAAGAGGACTTGAGAAGTTGTTGAACTCTAGATGTGTGTAGAAGATAGAGGATCTGCTGATGAATTGGAGGTACAATGTAGAAGAAAGAGGAATCAAGGATAACTCCAGGAGTTTTTGCGTGAGCAGATGTAAGGCTGGAAGAAGTCATTGGGAAGGGGTGACCAGAAGTTCACTTTTGGATATATCAAGTTTGAGATGTCCATTAGGCATCCTGGGAGAAAAGATGTTGAGTTAAAGGTCAGATACACAAGTCTTTAGAGTTCAGAGGAGAGGTCCAGACTAGAGATGCCAATTTGGGAATTACGGTATTTGTAAGTGTTGGGGTTACACAAAATAGAGATCACCAGTGATTCTCCAGTGGACGTGAGATTTTTGTGTTTGTTAAGCTAGGGGATGAATTTAAGACGGTTGAAACATTGGCATAGAGTGTAAGATTTAGATTTAGAATGTTAGGGTCCTGCCACTTCTGCAGTCCTGAACCATGTGCCATCTGGGTATAGCTAATAAGGTTTGGTGAATAAAGAAGGAGTTATCCTGAATTTGGAACTGGAGGTTTTGAGTTCATGAAAAAAGAGGAGTTGGACTCTCTTAATTTAAGGCTTTGAGTAGCTCATTAGCTTATTTAGAAAAGTTTTTAATATGTTCAGATGAGACAAAGTATTTTGAAAGGAGAAAAATTTTGGTATGCATTCTAACTTCTATACCTATATACATTACTTCTACTAGTCCTTGATTATTAGAAATATTAATCATATGGTACTCGTGTAATAATCATAAAATTCGTGTTAAGCTGGCTAGTATGATCTTAATGTAGTTTCTAAAATAAAATCTTTATCTGTCAGATCTTTAACGTTCATTTGGTTTTCTTCTAGGAAGATTTGGAGACCGGAGTTCACCTTGACCCTGCAGTCAAAGAGGTTCAGTATAATCCTACCTATGAGACCATGTTTGCTCCTGAGGTGAGAAAACATTATATTTAAGATTCTGCCTTAAAAAAAAAAAAAAAAAAATTCTGCCTTTTGCTAATGGATTTGAATTATACATAGGTAGATAAACAGTGAGTTTTTGGAGTTTTCTCACAAGAATATACATTTAAACTTACAAAAAACATGTCTTATTATGTGTCAGTTATATCTCAATTTTTTAAAAAAAGAAATTGTACCTTTAAAAATGTGCTAATGTTTGTCTACCAACATACAACTATCTGATAGAATGGAACTCAGTCTTTTGAAAAAAGATATTTTGAAATGTTTGGTTCTTAGATGTGAACGTAGTTAACATCTTCCTCAGTATTGTTAAGGGAGTATTATAAATTAACCATAAGGGAAAAAGAACTTGTTTTATTAGCATCATCAGTGCGGAGTGTATTATGAAACATCTGGTTACAAATGCTCCTGTGATGAATGCAAAAAAGGAGTGCCGTGCTAATGTGTTCACTGCTCAGAAGTAGTCACAGGGTGTATTGCTTGCTCTGTGTGAGACATCTTATGATGGTGGTGGTGGTGGTGGTGATGATGATTAATGCTGATGTAAGCACAAAGAAGATAGGGGGAAAAAGGCAAGAAAAGAGAAGAGAAGAGAAGAGAAGAGAAGAGAAGAGAAGAGAAGAGAAGAGAAGAGAAAAAAAAGGAAGGAAGGAAGGAAGGAAGGAAGGAAGGAAGGAAGGAAGGAAGGAAAACAGTGAAAACTGTCCATTTAGGAAAGTCTTTGTAGAAAAATGAAGTTTATAGCTATTTTGTTTTCAAAAAGGGAAAGAATGCTTGGCTGAGAAAATGGAGATGCCAGAAAATGGTCATTATAAAACAAAAAAGTAAGCCTTCAGTAGCAGGATCTGTAAGAAGCGCTTTAAAATGGGGGTGAGGAGCCATATTTTATTGCAGCTGAATGAAGAAAGAGGTACTTTTTAATACTTTTTGGTTTTGAGCACACAGTCATTGTCCTTTTTTTGATAAAGCAGTCATAAAGCTGTTTTATATAATCTGCCTGCTCAGGTTTCTGTAGTCACTTGAAATACGGCGAGTGAAAAATGTAGCACAGCTGATGATGTCAGTGCTAGCATTTAGACATCCCTGTAGCAGTTCTCCGGCTGTCCAGTTAGCAGAAATCCCATGCTCATATTCTGAGACTGCAGCACATTTTAAATTTTATTATATTATTTCTTAAGTCCTTCTAGCCTGTTGAACCTATAGACTGTTTCATATCCCTTGGCACCACTTTAGCTGGCACGGTGAAGAAAGGTTGTACGTTACATACATGCTTCATGATTTTTTTAAATGAAAAGTGCTTCAATAAAATAGGGCCACTAAATTCAGGAAATGAGAAAGTTTGGAAGTAGTGTGGTGTGTGTGTGTGTGTGTGCGCGCGCATGTGACCTTCGTATGTCAGTGCATTTTATATGAAGTCTCTTTCTCTTAAATGTTTAGGTCCTGTGCATAACTAATACATTGCTGTGTGATTACTGTTTTCAAAATTTAAAAGATGAAGTTGTTTTTTTTTGGTGATATTGATGAGGCATTAGGCGTATCATTGTCTTTGTGAGATTACCAATCCTTTAATGATCTGTTCTTTTTTTTTCTTGTGTTAGGGAGCCTCCCATTCAATATATAAATTAGTTTATGTTACAAACACTGATGCTTGTCACCAATTTGAGAAAGGAGTGATGAGAGGGAAAAGTGAAGAAAAATTACAATTTTTCCTGGTTGCCAAATGAATTGTCTGTTACATAATAGATAATTAACTTAGAATTTTATGACTGGGATCTGTGTAATTTGCAAAGTATGGAAAGGTGTCACGAGGAACTTTGCTGGATGAAATTCAAGTTCCCATATTTTGAGAATCCATTGTTAGAAACAAGATACAACCCCTCTCCTCAAGCTACTGTTTACCAGAGAGGATATGCTTTGTGTTATTTTAAAAGATAGAGTGCTCACTTCAGCAGCACATACACTAAAACGATAGAGAGCACATTGTTTCCTAGAATGCCTAAAGCCCTATTCAGGTTAAAGGAGAGATTGTGTCTGGTTGTAAAGATAAGAAAACGTTTCATGGAGAAAGTAGTATTTAAAGTAATAAATGGCTGGAGCACCTGGGTGGCTCAGTCGGTTAAGCGTCCGAACTTCAGCTCGGTTCCATGAGTCCGAGCCCTACGTCGGGCTTTGTGCCAACAGCTCAGAGCCTGGAGCCTGCTTCAGATTCAGTGTCTCCGTCTCTCTCTGCCTCTCCCCTGCTTACACTCTGTCTCTCTCTCAAAAATAAAATAAAAATGTAAAAAAAACATAAACAGTAAATGGCAAGATTTCATTCTTTTTGATCACCAAGTAGTATTCTATTTTATATACTGCATCTTCTTTATCCATTGATCAGTCGATGGATGTTTGTGTATTTACCATAGTTTGGCTATTGTTGAGAGGTGCCACTATAAACACTGGGGTGCATGTACCCCTTGAAATCAGCATTTGCAACAAAGTGGATAGAACTAGAGTGTGTTATGCTAAGCAAAATAAGTCAGAGAAAGACAAATATATGAATTCACTCATGTAGAATTGAAGAAACACAACAGATGAAGGGAAGGAAAAATAACATAACAGAGGGAGGGAAACCATAGGAGACTCTTAATACAGAGAGAACAAACTGAGGGTTGGTGGGTAGGGGGATGGGCTAAATGGGTGATGGGCATTAAAGAGGGCACTTGTTGGGATGAGCACTAGGTATTATACGTAAGTGATGAATGTCTAAATTCTGCTGAAACCAGTACTACACTGTATGTTAATTAACTTGAATTTAAATAAGTAAATTTAAAAATAAATTAATTAAAAAAATACACTTGAATTTAAAATAAACAGTAAAGTCCCAGTAAAGAACATGAGATGTGAGGTTAAATGTACTGCTTACTAGCTTTGGTGTGACCCTGGGTTACCTTAGTTTTCTCAAGGGTAAAATGAAGATAATTTCTACTTTACCAAGTTATATGGATACACACACTAATGTATGATATGCCTAGGAAACTCTGGCACAGAGTAAGCATTTAATAAATAGCAGCCCTTACTGTTATTTATGTTACTATTACTGGCATTGATGGCTAGAAAGGCTTTTATGAGGAAAGATTCCAGGCAGAAGAGAGTAGCATTAGCCAAATTATAAAAGATTTAAAGAACAGGAAGGAATACTTTAGTCATTGTCAGTTGGGGAGAACAGAGAGGTAAGATTAGAGTGATAGTTTGCATGGTGTTGTACAGGGTTCTGGCCAATGTAAACAGTTTGGTCTTGATTTAATAGATGATACATAGATTTTTAAAGTTCTTATTAAAGCGGCATAATTAAAGCTGAATTTTTAGGAAGGTTAATTTGGTGAGGATTTGCATGATGGAAAAGAGTGGTTGTAGAAATAAAAGTACCATTTCTTACTGTATCCTGCATCGCTGAGAGATTTATATAGTTGTATACCTCATCTCCTTTAGTCTTTACAATAACCCATGTTATTATTAGTACTCTAATCCCTATTTTATAGGGAGGAAACCAAGTCTCAGGGTTTACTGTCAGCAGGTAATGTATTTGGGGATGTGAGTTCACATCACTCTTCACAATTGCTCTGTGGCTAGAAGACCTGTTTGTAGACCGTTGCAGAGTTTGCACATTATACCCCTACGTCTTGGACTTTGCTAGTTCAGTAAATTAACTGAATTGACTACTTTATTTTATAAAATATTATTTTTCCCTCCCAACCGAGGACTTTTCCTAAGTGGTCTAACCTAGTATCCAGATAAGCTTTCTCAAATTATAGATAGAACTTGAAGATATAATAGCCATTGCTTTAGTCTACTGATTTTCTTCATTTCACTCAATCCTTTTTGGATTTACTTAGAGAAAAATGTACTTGTTAGCTTTCCTAGACTCATGTAAAACCTGTAAGTTTCAGGGAGATTTTCAGATTTAAAATAATAGTACTTTTAGGAATAGAAAAACATCAAAGTTAAAAGGAAAAAAAGTTCCTAGTTTATATTAGAAATCTGGCCATAAGGGCTGCTATAAATATTAATGTTGGAATGAACTTTAGAAGACAGTTCAGCTCTTTTATTTCATAGATGAGGAAACTGAGGCTCAAGGTCATAGAACCCCTACTAGTAAAAGATCTTATTTTAGTAATAAACTCTGCTTATGTCTTAGATGATTGAGGTATTCTCCCAATAAAAATGAATTGTGGTGATCTTTTCCAAATTTGTGGAAAATAATTAAGTTAATCAACAGGATCTTCTCACCTTAAAGTTTGTTTCTAAATGTTTAACCATTGATGGCTACAGTAAACATTAATGAAAAACTTACCAGAAATCTAAGTATAATATTATTACTGGTTCAGTAACTTGGGGGGGGGTGTTCTATATGTGAATTTATGATTATGATTTCACATAGTTTTTACTAGTGTAAATTTTCTTAATACCTGTGGTGTTACGCTATACTGCTAAGACACTGACCCTCAAGTACTATACCTCCTGAAGACTTTGGAGAACCACTGCCTTACAATACACAGATTTCTTAGGTTTATCTACCCGCGTCTTAATGAATTAAAAATGCTTTTCTCCTACTTTATAAATAAATCACTACTTCACTCAGGTGAAACATATAAGCATACTTAGGAACATCCTGAGATGTAGTGATCTGAATTATGAATTAATACTTAAATGTGTATATTTTATATGGGAGATTAAGATTATAACTGACTGTGGTGTGCTTCAGTATGGTCTTAGCTAAAAACTGCTAAATACTCATACCTAATTAAGTATGTATTTTTAAAATCCTTTGAATACAAATTTAGTTAAACGTAGTTGCCAGAAGTTAAAAAGAATATTTGGAAGTCAGTTTTGTGTTTTATGTGCTTTTTGATTTTTTTATTTTTTGGAAGATATTTTTATTTTAAGTATTCTCTGCAGCCACCATGGGGCTCAAACTCACAACCCCAAGATCAAGAGTCACATGGTCCACCAACTGAGCCAAGTGCTCCTATACTTTGTTTTGTTTTTTAATGGTTAACCCAGAATTAATAGAAATGCATATTCACAGAGACCAGGAACATCTGGGACACATAATTTTTAAGGAATTGAGAAGAGCTGACTTCTGCTGAGTAACATTTCTCTTCTTTTCTTTGTTGGCATTTATTTAATATCTTTAAGGTCAGTTCCAGTAGCTGCTGTTAACCAGGCAGTTGGGGTGAGCCAGAAGTAGATAGATCCTCCCCCAACCCAGCTTCCTATAGCATTAGAAGATTTTTTTTGTTGTCTCCAGCTTAAACATCTATAAAACATAGCACATTTAAATTTTTAGACTGCTTTAGAAATAGCACCAATATAAGATACACTTAGCTGTAATCTGTGGATCTGTATTCATATAGAAATCAAAGTTCCTTAACACTGAGAATTTTTCTTTAAAAGATAGAGTTGATTTGATATATATGGCCAGTAGAAGAATTGTTCTTTTTTTTTT